ACTAATCATTCAGGCCTTAGTGAAGTAACAAACTGTTTTCCAAATGCAGCTAGTTTTGTATCTAAATGGCTTCTAACCAAGCAAGTCATGGCAGTGGAAAGTTGAGTCTTCACCTGTGTGAATAATGAGGAAATTTTTTTTTTTTGATGCCTAAGTCACCTCCGTTTATGAAATAATTTAATAAATAACAACATCAATTTAAAAAAAAATTTCCCAATGAGGTTTTTTAATATAAATTACCTGAAGTCCCAGAATGAGCCTCAAAAGGCCATACATGAATCTTTTGAAATTTTTGATGTGTTCTTGGGTTAATCAGATTCTGAAAGGGATATTTGACTCCATACTCTTACCACCAAATAAAAGTGAAGTGTACTGCTAAAAAATAAATAACATTAACTTTGAAAAAATCTGACCTTCCTCTTACCCCCCTTGTTATGGTTGATTCTAATATAGCAATTCAAAATTTTCCCACAGGAATAATTTAGATTAAAACAAAACATAAATCAAAAATAAGTTTTAAAACTTCCCAAGGAGAAGTATATATCTTGATGCACAAATTCCTCAACTCTGCCTGGTGGGCAAAAGGACCGATATCGTAGCCTTTCTTCACTAAGTTAGCATGTGTGCGGTAGCCCCATTCAGCAGTGGGGTGCAGGGTGGGGAGTGAGCACCCTCTGTTGAGTGGGAGGAAATAGCACTACCAAAGTGATAACTAAGCCCTCTTTCACTTCTTATATTTTTGCTTATGATAGTCACCCTCTTTTGAAAATTATTAAGCACAGGGGAAAAACTACTTATAAAAATCTCCATGTGTGTAACTATGAGTGTGTATATATATATATATATGTACATGTATGTTTGTGTGTGTGCATATACTGTCTCAGTGAGGGTGCTGAGATGATTTGTAAGGTTTATTTTGTTTCTAAAATGATATGATTCTAAAAGTACTTAACCAAACCAAAAAAAAAAAAAACAACCAAACCCGTTGCCGTTGAGTCAATTCTAACTCATAGCTACCCTATAGCGACCCTATAGGACAGAGTAGAACTGCCTCATAGACTTTTGAAGGAGCACCTGGTGGATTTGAACTGCTGACCTTTGGTTAGCAGCTGTAGCACTTAACCGCTATGCCACCAGGGTGTTTTTGAAGAATGGATTTTGAAACAGGAATTCATGGTTCAT